ATGGGAGTTAGCAAGAGGCAGGCAATATTTTTAACTTGTATCATCGGGCAGGAAGAGGCCATTGTCTCTCTGATTCCCGCCACTGTATTTGGGATAAAAACAGCATTTACTCCATGTGTCATTGAAATGCACACCATTGTGGTGTCCTCCGCGGCAGGGCAGTGCTGCTGGATGCCGTGTCCTTTGGGATGTGCTAGGACAAGGGACGTGGTGAGGTCACGGCCCAGGGACTCTTGGGCTAAGGACATGCTTTTGCAGAGGCTGCAAGAAGTCAGGGCTGGCTGGAAGGGAACTTTGAAGAGCTCTTCGTCACCATATGATACAAGCCCTCCATCATGGTTTTCAATAGCTTTGCTTTATTATTGACAAAAGCAGGTTCCCAAAGCCCTTGATTACCGCGACTTTGGGAGAAAACTGATTTTCCTTCTCCCCAGCATATCCAAAGAGGCATTGCACAATTCTATTTAAAGTGAATGTCAAAAACAAAAAAGTCATAAATATTACATATCACATTCCATTTAAAATATACTGGTATTTTGTTTGGTGTATGCAATCCACATAAACTGTATACCATAAATTAATGTAGCATAATGCATTTGCATGGGTCTAGCTTTAAAAATAACCATGAACTTGGGTTACCATGAGACTCAGCACCGTGCGGCCTTTTCCTCTGCAAGCATCACGTCCCCATCCGTGAGGCCTTCTTTTCACAGAGGGGGGAGTTTTCTCCTGCTTTTCCTGAAGCGAAGAACCGTGCACTCCCTCCACACAGGCTCACTGCCCCTCCCTGGTCCTCGGGAGACCTTTCTAGAGGGAAATGGAGTCTGACTGCAGGGTCTGTGCCGGCAGAGTTCTGGGAGCCACTGGGTCCTGTCTGGAATACCTTCTGGTTGGCTACAATGGCACTGATTATGCAAATGCCCACAGCAGCATTATTCATAACAGCCGAGAGGAGGGGAGAATCCAGATGTCAACTGATGAATGGATAAACTCGTTTGTATTACACCTGTGCAATTCAGCTGCAACAGGGAATGAAGTCCTGACTCAAGCTACGGCCTGGATGAACCGTGACAACACAATGCTAAGTGAAATAAGCCAGATGCCACAAAAGGCCCATTCTATATGACTCAACGTGTTTCTTGATTTAGTTGAGAATGCATGTTTTTATTTCTGTCTTGCAGTGTCTAATCCCAACATGGATTGGGGCAACTTCCCAGAGTACACACACAGAAGGAACAGAAAAATAGAGGCAGTGAGCAGTAAGATGGGTGGGGGAGCAGTGGGCACTGTGGAGGCACACACCTCCCAGTGCTGACCACACCGGTGCTAGCCAGGCACCGCACCGCACCCTTCTGTGTGATTCCATTTATATGACATGTCCAGGGGCAGGTGTTTGGCATAGTCCTTAAGATGCCGCATCCCATATCAGAGTGCCTGGGTTCAAGTTCTGGCTACTCCTGATCAGTGTCCTGCTAACGGGTGCCATGGAATGCAGCAGTTGACGGCTCTGGTACTTGGGTCCCTGCCACTGGGACTGCGTTCTGTGCTTCTGGCTTCACCCTGGCCTAGCCCTGGCTGTTGCATGTGTTTGGGTGGTGGACCAAGGACTGGAAGTGCTGTCTCTGTCTCTATGCCTTTCAAATAAATAATAATTAAGTAGAAGAAACCAGATACCGGTTTCAGTGCTGATTTGGGGATGCTTGATGTCCTTACAGAGGACAACGGTTCTGTCTCTGAGTTCTCAGGTGAGTACAATGGACATTTTTATTACCTAAAATAATTTGGGAATGTTTTTAGTTTCTTTTTGCTAGGGGAATAAATTATGCTAAATTTAGTAGCTTGAAGCAACACCCATTTGTTATCTTATAGTTCAAAAAGTCAGAAGCGTACAATGGCCTCGGGGGCAAAGGTCAAGGTGTTGGCAATGCTGTATTAGTTCTGCAGGCTCTCAGGAGGATCTGTTCCACTCCTTATCCAGTTTCTAGAGGCTACCAGCATTCCTTGGCTTGTTGCCCGTCATCTTTCCTACCACTTGCTCCTTTGTCTCAATTTCTCTACCTCTGGTTCTCCTGCCTCCCTTCTATAGCTCCTTGTGATCAAGCCCACTTGGATAATCCTGGATAATTTCCCCTGAACTTAGTTGCACCTGCACGGTCCCTTTTGCCCATCAGGTTCTGGGGCTTAGGATCTTTGTGGAATCTCTACTCTGCCTACCATGAGAATATATTATATGACATATGTGATATCATATATATAACATATGTGATACAGGCAGAGCCACGTGCAATTAGGGAGGGGATTAGGAAATGGTGGAAGCACTGAAATTTCTCCGTAATTCGAGTATACAATGCAACAGAGATCCGAGGAAAGCTGAGCTGGCGCCCTAGGTCTGAAACCCCAGAGAGCTCAGTACTCTTCACACCAGCACGTGGGGACGCGCTGTGCCTCACGCAGGTGTCCTCCCACCCAGGGTCTGTTCCTTAAGGCTGAAACACACTTCCCCACAGTCTCCTTGCTCCTCTCGTCCACCACTGGTGAGTCTTTCCAGCAAGACTGGCCTCACCAATCTCTTGAAAACTGTAACCTTGCCTCTGCTCCAGGGGTGCCCATCTGTATTTTTGCTGGATTTTCCTCCATGTTACTAACAGCTCTGCAAAACCTGTATTCATTTTGGTTACTGTCCCTTCCCTCCTGCTGAAGCACGAACCCTTGCAGGGGCATGATTCTTGATGACCTTCTCCATAAAAATCTCAGTCATACATGCAGACTCTAGTTGGCCAGACGCAGGAGTGCACTTCTCTGCGGCACGGACAGGCCGTCTGTTGTGGGAGGAGACTCCCTGTGTCTCTCTGGAGTGCAAACTCTTAGGGAGCAGGGACAAGTCTGAGACCTTCCCCAAGCATTCCTTGCACAGGGAATAACTTAAAGTGAACGCTGCTAACTAGCTGACGAGTGGCCGAAAGGGGAAGAACGTGGGGTCTGAAAACATGGAGCAGAACACAGCACTACAGTGAGTGAGACGTGTGACTGGATGTGTCATCCAAGAAGAGCCCATCACAGGTGAGGGCCTAGGTCATTTTGCCCTAAGATGCAAAAGCAGCAGATCCTCCTACTCAGTGAGTTGTGACTTCTAACAACCCCGTTACGTTTTGTTTTACCCGCAGGAGCTGACATGTTACTGCACAGGGTGCCCGTGTCCTGACTGGCAGTTCGCAGACCTGTGGGACCTGGCACGTGCTGTGTAGGGTGAGTGAGAGGAAGTGCATCGAACCCCACTGCTGAACAACAGGCTGGCTTGATGCCTATGTGGGACCGGAGTGGCCTTGGTACACATCTGCGTTTGTGAAAGTGGCGGAAGCTGAGAGCCTCCGAGAACACATCCCACAGTGAACTGTGCAAGTAGCGTCCACAGTGAGAAATAACAAAATCATCAACGCCATGATCTCCCATCGCCATCAAGGCACTGAGACTCAGAGAAGGGCGCCTATCACAGAGGAGCTGGTGATATAGAGAAGCCACTACACTCTTTCGTGATATTGCAAGTGAAGAGGCCACGGTTTCACTCACGGACCCAATCTCTCACTCAATGAAGCCTCTAACATATCACTTCCCCTTTCTTCCCTCCCCACTGCTATCTGGCTTGCACACTCCTCCTCTTTGGTCTCTGTCCCTGCCACATTAATGATCTTTCACATTTCTAGTGGATACAACAGGGCCTTTTCACATTTGCCTCCTCCTTTCTTAAGAGAGAGCCTTTTTTTTTTTTTTTTTGACAGGCAGAGTGGACAGTGAGAGAGAGACAGAGAGAAAGGTCTTCCTTTTGCCGTTGGTTCAACCTCCAATGGGCCGGCGCACCGCACTGATCCAAAGCCAGGAGCCAGGTGCTTCTCCTGGTCTCCCATGCGGGTGCAGGGCCCAAGCACTTGGGCCATCCTCCACCGCACTCCTGGGCCATAGCAGAGAGCTGGCCTGGAAGAGGGGCAACCAGGACAGAATCCGGCACCCCGACTGGGACTAGAACCCGGTGTGCTGGCACCGCAAGGTGGAGGATTAGCCTAGTGAGCCGCGGCGCCGGCCAGGAGAGCCTTCTATCACCTGCTTCAGTCACATTCAGTATCTTAGACGCTCAGCACGTCAAATGCCTTTCTCCCCGAGCATCTGTCACAGCTTCCACCTTTCCTTTTCTTTTGTTTACCTGGCTCATTGCAAAGCACTACTGGATGATAGTCCACATCTCCAATGGAACTGTGAGGTCAACAAGATCAGGACCTGAGCATGTCCTCCATCAGTCATCCTGAATGAATGAGTAGATTATTGAACAGGAAGCAGATGCGAGGGAAGGAGATAACATGAGAACGGAATGAATGGTGAAATGAACACAGAAGAGACAGGATATGTGTAGACAGGTAAGTGATGTCTACAAGATAAGCTGAGGCTTATGCTATGGACTTCAGAGTTCCGAGCTCATTTTCCTGCTGGGATGGGTGAGAGCTTAGTTTGGGAAGGGTCTCTGGAACTTTTTCTAAACTTCTGGGTATAACAGAGAACCTCATAATCTGGCAGAAAGGCCAAGGCAAGTAACAGAAGCAAGAGAAGTACATGAGGCCACTGAATCCAGAGCTTGGTGGTCCAGTACAAACTGACAAACATGGGGAGTCCGCTAAACAGCCCTTGGGGGCCCTGGCCAATGTCCATTCCTACAGAACTACCAGTGCTATGTAGGACAGGACTTCAGGCTTCCAAATTAACATGTGGGTCAGCTTCATCTCCTCACACCAAAATATGAAAGGGCCCAAGTTTTCCCACATGCCGAGATCCAGTAACTCTCTGGGGTGAAGTTCCCTACGGGGAATATTCCATCCATGATCACTGGGATGGAAAAGAACTTGGCCGAACCCTTGCCTCCCCACGGAGATCTGACATCCATAAATCTAATAGGGTTGACAGTTAGTAAACTTGCCTTGACACAATGAAGGCTATTAGTGGGACACTCCCTTTCTTATCCACAATATTAAGGTTCAAGGGAAGGGTGAAGAACATCAGTGTCCTGCGAATGGACAGCATCTCTAACTCACCCAGCCAGGAACGTTTCCCTTAGATTATACTTTGGTTAAGGTGGTCACTCAGTGTTAACCCACTGCAGGAAAGACTTCCAAATTTCAGAAATGTGCATCTTTAATTGTTTCTGGTTCCATAGCTCAAGTCAAATTCGCCCAAAGTTTCAGTGATCTGCTGACAGTGATAACAATATGACTAACGAGATACTGAGTGATCACTTTGTGATTGGCACCATGCTTTTTGCCCTAGATGGTGATGCTACCTCAGATAATAATATCAAAGATAGGTGGGATATACAGCTTTTTAAAGTTTCCCCCAGAGGCCCTTGCCTCCTGCTGTTCCTGCCTTCGTTACTTCTCCCCCTCTGAGTTTGGGCAGGGCCTAGTGACCGGCTTGTCCGTACAGGACGCAGACACAGGGGTGGGAGATCACCTATGACATCACAGAAGACTGAGAAGACCTCTGCCTGGAACGGTCTGTTAGTTCTCCCTGCTTGCTTGTGCTACTGAAGCAGTCCTGTGGAGGGGTCCCTGTGGAAAGAAGCTGAGGAACAGGGGCTACCACTGTGGCATAGTGGGTGAAGCTGCCACCTGTGACACTGGCACCCCACGTGGGTGCCAGTTTGCATCCTGGCTGCTCTACTTCCCATCCAGTTCCCTGCTAATAGCCTGGGGAAAGCAGTGGAAGACGGCCCGAGTGCTTAGGCCCCTGCACTCATACGGAGACCTGGATGAAGCCCCTGTCTCCTGGCTTTGGCCTGGCATAGCCCTGACCATTGTGATCATCTGTATAGAGAACCAGAGAATGGAAGACCTCCCTGTCTCTCTCCCTCTCCCTCTCCCTCTCCCTCCCCTCTCCCTCTCCCTCTCCGTCTCTGTGATCCTGACTTTCAAGTAAGTCAATAAATCTTTAAAAAAGAAACTGAGGAACAAGTATTGTGGCCCTCAGTCCAACACCTATGAAGAACTGACTCCGGCCACTAGCCAGGTAGGTGAATTCAGATGTGGCTCCTACTCCAGTGAGGCTTGGGATGACCACTGCCCTACCTCACACCTTAATCTAGCCTGTAAGAGCCCTGAGCCAGAGGATCCTGCTAATCCATGCTAGATTCCCGAGAAACTCCAAGAGCTTACCTGTTGCTGCCCAAAGCCAGGATATGTTTGGGGGTATACTTTGGGCATCAGTGGGTAGTAAACACAACAGCCAGTGTTGACTGGAGACCAGTAGATACTGGTGTTGGTGCCTTTTGCATATGAGCCTCTTTGATCCACAAACAACCTGCTAAAATTGATGTGTGCATCCTCCCATTTTATAGATGGGGACGCTGAGGCTCAGAAAGATCATGCTTGGCCAAGTTCCCAGAGCTGGTAAGCAAAAGAGCCAGAGTCCAAAGCCAGGGTTAAACTGGCTGCATTTTTTTTTACAGGCAGAGTGGACAGTGAGAGAGAGAGAGAGAGAGAGAGAAAGGTCTTCCTTTTTGCCGTTGGTTTACCCTCCAATGGCCGCTGTGGCTGGCGCGCTGCGGCCGGCGCACCGCGCCTATCCGAAGGCAGGAGCCAGGAGCCAGGTGCTTATCCTGGTCTCCCATGGGGTGCAGGGCCCAAGCACTTGGGCCATCCTCCACTGCACTCCCTGACCACAGCAGAGAGCTGGCCTGGAAGAGGGGCAACCGGGACAGAATCCGGTGCCCGGACTGGGACTAGAACCCCGTGTGCCGGCACCGCTAGGTGGAGGATTAGCCTAGTGAGCCGCGGCGCCGGCTTGAACTGGCTGCATTACTTTCAATGAGCTGAGTGGCTAATGGGTTCAGCCCCTTTTGGGGAAGAGCGGAATTTCAAGGTGTTATTGTAGGAACCAGGCAAGCATCTGGCTGGAGCCCCCATACGGAGGACCCTCGCCTTGGGAGAGTCTGCCTGGTGTGTTAACGTACCATGGAAGAAATAGCCACGACTGAGTGGGTTTTCTGTACGTTTCCCTGGATACCCTCATCAGGCTTGGACGAAGCCATGAAGGACAGGGAATGCTTCAGACCTCTTACCGCACAGTCACCCACAGGTGGCTGCAAAGTCTGCCTCAGCCAAGGGGCCTACCGGAGAGGAACTCTTCTCAAAAGAAAATTTAAAGGGCTCTTGGAAGCCATCCAAAGCAGCAGAGACCCAAAGGGGCTCTTTCCTTCCTAAGTCTATGCAAATCTGTGGTTTGCCCTCCACACTCGAATGTTTAGCTCAGTTTCCTTTTCGGCTGATAAAGCGATTGGAAGACAGCAGAGAAGCGGTGACCCCATCTGCACTCTGCCCCTCTGACCTGCTTTGTTCTTCCCAGCCCTTGGCATTTTGACCCCAAAATCTCTTTGCAATGAACAAACCCAGGGCCCCCAGTCTTCTAGGCCACTTGCAGTACTCAGGGAGCCTCCTACCCAGTTCCCAGCCCCCTCCTTTTCTTCGCAGAGAAACTGACTTTTAGTCCCCAGTTCAGGCTACCTTGGTGGCAAAAGTCCCTGACCCCTGGAAGATGAAGACTCCCTGTGAGCCTAGGGAGGAGCACCGAGTCAGGAGGTTCACACTTGCACAGTCTGTGTGAACACGAAGTTCAAGTTTTTGTGTCACAGACAGGGGCCCAGGCCCCGAGAGAAAGGGATTTGTCTCTGATGATCTGGGGACCACGCAAAGTCTGAAGGCGGCAGGCACAGGCAGGAAGACGCCGCCTGTTGCAAAGTGTGGAAGGCTCACCTGGCACGCCAGCCGGTTGCACGGCAGCCACGGTGGAGTCCCACGTCCCCAGGCACTTCATGTATGTTATCTCTATCTTCACAAGAGTCTGGAAAGAAAAGCAGCGGTGTCTTTTCTTCAAGGAAGTCACTGACCCAGTTAAAAAATCTGATGAAATCCAAGACTCTTTCCCTCACAAAGATATGTATGCACCAAAATTATATTCAATTTAAGGGCTGCTTAAGGATCCATGGACACCAGGCTGAAAAAAAGAAATCTCCCTTTAGGTACTGCTGTTTCCCCCATTTAGAAAGTGGGAAATTTGAGATGTACAGGATTTGTGTCCTATGCCCATGCATAGTACAGAAGCTCTTAAAAAGACATCAGCAGGGCTGCAAGGCTGGCGCTGGTTCCTTCCCCAGGACACACTGAGGTCAGCAATGCTGCACACTCTACAAAGCAAGGGTTTGCTCCTTCTTTACCCAACAGCATGTCTTCTTTAAAGCAAACACCAGGCGCCTGACACTGAACAGGAGACAGTCCTTTGGAGCTGACAGAGAGGTCTCCAGGGTTGGTAGTCAGGTTTCCTCTCTCCAAGACAGGCTTCCCCTGGGAACCTTCAACCTGCCTTCCTGTAATTTCTTCTTTCAGTTAGAGTAGACAGGAGTGGACATTGCAGAGCAGTGGCTAAATCACTGCTTGGGCACCTGGATCCCATATCAGAGTTCTGGTTCGAGTCTTGGCTTCTCTACTTCTGGTCCAGGTTCTTGCTAATGTGCCTGGGAAGCAGTGGATGAAGGCTCAAGTTCTTGAGTTCCTGCCACCCACATGGGAGCCCTGGGTGGAGTTTCTGGCTCCTGGCTTTGGTTTGGTGTAACCCCAGTTATTGAAGTCACTTGGGGAGTGAACCAATGGATATCTGTGTGTTTTTCTCTTTGTCATTGTCCATTTTAAATTAATACATGAATAAATCTTTAAAAAAAAAAGAGTAGTCTTTTGTGAAGACAGAGGTGATTGCCCTACTGAAAATTTTATTGGTTGAACAAAGGAGTGGCTGACAAATAAAATCAGCCAGAATCCAAATACACCCATCTAAGTTGATAAGAACTGAAATCTTCAGATTTCAATTTGATATTTTCAAAAATTTATTTATTTATTTATTTGAAAGTCAGAGTTACAGAGAGAGAAGGGCAGAGAGAGAGGAGAAAAAGAGAGAGCGAGAGAGCGAGCTATCTTCCATCTGCTGGTTCACTACTCAGATGGCTATAAAGGCCAGGGTTGAGTCAAGCTGAAGCCAAGAGCTTCATCTGGGTCTTCCAAGTGGGTGTTAGGGGCCCAAACACTTGGACCATCTTCTGTTGCTTGTTTTAGGCCATTAGCAGGGAGCTGGATCAGAAGTGGGCCAGCCAAGTCTTGAACCAGCACTGGTAGGGGATGCTAGTGTTGCAGGCAGTGGCTTTACCTGCTATGCCACACAGGTGATATATTCTTCTGATTAAGAATTTAGGTTCTGGGGCTGGTGCTGTGGCACAGCGATTAAAGCCACTGCTTGCAGTGCTGGTATCACATATGGGCACCGGTTCAAGTCCCAGCTGAATCTCTTCCGATCCAGCTCTCTGCTATGGCCTGGCAAAGCAGTAGAAGATGGCTCAAGCCCTTGGGCCCCTGCACCCACATGGGAGACCTGGAGGAAACTCCTGGCTCCTGGCTTCAGATGGGTGCAGCCCCGGCCATTGTGGCCATATGGGGAGGGAACCAGCAGACGGAAGACCTCTTTCTCTCTCTGCCTCTGCCTCTCTGTAATTCTGCCTTTCAAATCAATCAATCAGTCTTTAAAAATAAAAAGGAATTCAGGTTCTGCCTCAGAGTCATGGATGCTGTGGTTGGCCAGCATCCCTCTGCTGCCTTCTCAAGATGGGATGGGCATGGGGACCACATCTCGTCCTACCCATTCTCCCTTGCAGCTCACTGCTCACTGCTCAAGAAGTAATGGCTGTGTTCTCTCCTGATTGCATCTTCTGCTAGCTTGGGTTTCTTCCAAATCTAGTCCCAGGGTACTTTCCTGACCTCTGGTCACTAAGGTTTCCTGTACTTTTCTTGAGACCTGCTGAATCTCGGTTTGGGGAATCTCTCCAGTGCCCATGGATGACATAAAAATCAGGGAATGCACACCCAGGCTTCCTGCAATTTAGTGCGTTCTAGCTTGTCTAGCTCTGCACTGACTGACATGGAAACCATCAGAGGGCTCCTGGAGTACTTCAGAAGCAGGGTGCTGGTGGGGCTCTAGGCCCGGCTGTCAATGACTGACAACAGTCAAGCCAGGAGAGCACAGAGCTGCAGTCACTCTCAGTCTTCCCATTGAGGAGGTCATCCAGAGAACCTCCCACCTCTCCATGCATCAAACGCTCCAGTCCTAGTCCTGACCCAGCCACCAAGTCTGCAGAATTTCCAACACTTCACCTCTCCTTTTGGGGGTCTGATTTCTCCATCAACACAACAGGTGGCACCTTCTGCCCTCCCCAGCAGGCGTTCCTTCCTAAAAACTTGAGTTCCTCTTTGAGACTGATGCTCATGTTGAGGATAGCTTACATCCAGTGGCATGCCCTCCAGTACGTGCTGACTCAGTTTTGACAGACACGTTCACTTGTGCAACCTCAACCCCTCCTCAGGACACAGAACGTTTCCATTACCACAAAGACTTCCCAGTATCCGTCATTTCTCCACCCCACAGGCAACCACTGATTTGATTTCTGTCATTGTAGGTTGGTTTTGCATATTTTAAACTTTCATGTAAATGGAATTGCACTGTATGTACTGTTGTGTCTGACTTCTAGCCCTCAGCATTCTATTTCTACAATTCTTCTACGTTGTTTCATGGATGCGGTTGATCCTTTTGTTTGCTCAGTAATAGTCCATTGAGGAGTGCACCCTGGATTATGTGCCCACTGTCATGTAGATGAGCAGTTGGTCTCAGTATCTGGCTGTTACAAGTAAAGCTGCTGTGAATATTCTTTTTCACTCCTCTTGGATAAATACTTGAGAGTACAACTGTTAGATAATCAAGGAGATGTATAGTTACGTTCCTGAGAAACTGTCCAAGGGTTTTCCATAGAGGTTTTACCATCTCACAAGCTCACCCATAATGCATGGCTGCTCTCCAGCATTTGATGTTGAGTCTTCTTTTCTTTAAAGTTCTTGTGAATGTTTGCCCCAGCAGAGAGCTAGACTGGAAGAGGAACAACCGGGACTAGTACCCAGCGCCCCAACAGGGACTAGAAC